TGGTAGCGATCACGTCATTATCTACATGGCACAGCTGATTGGTTGCTGTTGCATCAGCGTCTAAAGAGCTGCGGCTCAACATTGAAACAGATACCAGTAGTGTTGCTGTTAGTAGTATGAGTGCGCTTTCAGAAACTCTCCCCTTCCCCAGCTCCACCTGTGTAGATCTGCTGCGGGGTTAATCATGTATGTTACATGTGCAGCATGTCTTACATGATCATAACAATGTCTGTGAATGTATTCGCAGTAGCAAATCTCGGTACTTGCTCTGCAGCAGCAGCAGCGTAGCAGATCTTTTCCTCCAAGACCAAATACAATAACATAGCCATATCCATAACCATGCCAATCTCTATTACCATACCGACCTCCCAAGAGTTGTCATGACAGAACTATAAAAATCATTAACAGGCAGTGCTTCAATGTGGAACGAGACACTGCGTTGATGACGCTACGGGCAGCGCCTCCACGTAAACGGTGTCTGATAAGCTTATCCAATCACGGCAATCGCATTGACCGGCGACAGCCTATGACGTCGCTACTAGTGCGACCCGGAAGTATATAAGGGGCGCCTAGAGAACATGTCATCAATTTATCGTCTGAAGGGACTGTTCAGCAGGCATCCCGAGGCATGGCGAAAGACGCAGTGTCTCGTTCCCCGTTCTCAGGGAACATAGGATAGTCGTAACCTGAGACATTCCCTTTCGAAAGGGAACTCGCACTGCATCGATGACGCTATGGGGAACGATGTACAATCCCACCATGCCGAGGGGAGTGCATGCCAATTATGGCTGTGACAGAAACGTCATAAATGGCAGTTTAACTGAAATGCCAAACACTCTCCCTTCGGATCACATACGCGTCAGTGACAGTATTCCCTACGGCCACTGGCCAAGCTATAAGCCTCAAAGACGCCTCCGATACAATGAAGGCTTACCAAGGCTGGTCAAAGGCTCTGGAACCAACAGCTTCCGTGGAAGGGGTTCCTTTAAGGGAATATGGCGAGGGGGTCCGAAAGCAGTCCCGTCCAGTCACTTTCTGAGGGGGACTAAAGTCAACCCCACATGCCATCTGGGAAGCTGACCTGGTCTAATTTACTGACCTAGTCTGGGCAACAACCCGTCTGTTTCCTAAACATTATCTGCCTCACTTGTGGAGGCGTCCGATAGGGAGGACTGCAGATAGTGGCAGTGATCGCTCACAGACCGGTTTATAGAGACGGGCATCCTGGAGAGGAACTCAGCATAGCGCACTCTAACCCTTGCAACCGAGGGGAGTAACTCTACCTGATCCTGGATCTACACAGTGCTCCAGGCCCTGTGGAGGCTGGGCACTCTAAAGGGACCCTAATAAGGGGAGCGCCTCCAGCTCTAGGGCTGATCTAACAGGGAAGCCTCGTGAGAGTCCTTCGACCTTCCGACCAGACTTAGGGAGTTAAGTATTCTTACAGAGCGATCCTCAGATAGATTCTGGAACACTATGCTCATCCTGATAAGTATTGACCAGACTCTGGGCTAGAATCTGGGCTCGCCAATGGTCGACTCAGCAACAAACCGTCCTCGCGCGGCACAAGCCATTGAAATAAATGGGTTTGATAGCACATTCCGCATCCTGTCTGAAAAGGGCCATTAGAAGATTACCGTCGGTGGATTTGAATTTGAATAACCGTGTGTACTGACGTCTTCTGCGGTTAAAACAACAGTCCTTCTGATGTTCATTCTCTCAAACTCTTCGGCGAGCTCCCTCTGAGAACCCCACGGTTCCAGACTCCGCTTTGCCTCAGCGTGAGCAGGACCCGAACCGTTTGAGCAGGACCCGAACCGTTTGAGCAGGACCCGAACCGTTTGAGTAGGACCCGAACCGCCTGGTACAGATGTTTGAGCAGGACCCGAACCGCCTGGTACAGATGTTTGAGCAGGACCCGAACCGCCTGGTACAGATGTTTGAGCACGACCCGAACCGCCTGGTACAGATGTTTGAGCAGAACCCGAACCGCCTGGTACAGATGTTTGAGCAGGACCCGAACCGCCTGGTACAGATGTTTTAGCAGGACCCGAACCGCCTGGTACAGATGTTTGAGCAGGACCCGAACCGCCTGGTACAGATATTTGAGTAGGACCCGAACCGCCTGGTACAGATGTTTGAGCAGGACCCGAACCGCCTGGTACAGATGTTTGAGCAGGACCCGAACCGCCTGGTACAGATGTTTGAGCAGGACCCGAACCGCCTGGTACAGATGTTTGAGCAGGACCCGAAGCGCCTGGTACAGATGTTTGAGCAGGACCCGAACCGCCTGGTACAGATATTTGAGCAGGACCCGAAGCATGACCCGAACCGCCTGGTACAGATGTTTGAGCAGGACCCGAACCGCCTGGTACAGATGTTTGAGCAGGACCCGAACCGCCTGGTACAGATATTTGAGCAGGACCCGAACCGCCTGGTACAGATGTTTGAGCAGGACCCGAACCGCCTGGAACAGATGTTTGAGCAGGACCCGAACCGCCTGGTACAGATGTTTGAGCAGGACCCGAACCGCCTGGTACAGATGTTTGAGCAGGACCCGAACCGCCTGGTAAAGATGTTTGAGCAGGACCCGAAGCGCCTGGTACAGATGTTTGAGCAGGACCCGAACCGCCTGGTACAGATGTTTGAGCAGGACCCGAACCGCCTGGTACAGATATTTGAGCAGGACCCGAAGCATGACCCGAACCGCCTGGTACAGATGTTTGAGCAGGACCCGAACCGCCTGGTACAGATGTTTGAGCAGGACCCGAACCGCCTGGTACAGATATTTGAGCAGGACCCGAACCGCCTGGTACAGATATTTGAGCAGGACCCGAACCGCCTGGTACAGATGTTTGAGCAGGACCCGAACCGCCTGGTACAGATGTTTGAGCAGGACCCGAAGCATGACCCGAACCGCCTGGTACAGATGTTTGAGCAGGACCCGAACCGCCTGGTACAGATGTTTGAGCAGGACCCGAACCGCCTGGTACAGATATTTGAGCAGGACCCGAACCGCCTGGTACAGATATTTGAGCAGGACCCGAACCGCCTGGTACAGATGTTTGAGCAGGACCCGAACCGCCTGGTACAGATGTTTGAGCAGGACCCGAAGCATGACCCGAACCGCCTGGTACAGATGTTTGAGCAGGACCCGAACCGCCTGGTACAGATGTTTGAGCAGGACCCGAACCGCCTGGTACAGATGTTTGAGCAGGACCCGAACCGCCTGGTACAGATGTTTAAGCAGGACCCGAAGCATGACCCGAACCGCCTGGTACAGATGTTTGAGCAGGACCCGAACCGCCTGGTACAGATGTTTGAGCAGGACCCGAACCGCCTGGTACAGATATTTGAGCAGGACCCGAACCGCCTGGTACAGATATTTGAGCAGGACCCGAACCGCCTGGTACAGATATTTGAGCAGGACCCGAACCGCTTGGTACAGATGTTTGAGCAGGACCCGAACCGCCTGGTACAGATGTTTGAGCAGGACCCGAACCGCCTGGTACAGATGTTTGAGCAGGACCCGAACCGCCTGGTACAGATGTTTGAGCAGGACCCGAACCGCCTGGTACAGATGTTTGAGCAGGACCCGAAGCGCCTGGTACAGATGTTTGAGCAGGACCCGAACCGCCTGGTACAGATATTTGAGCAGGACCCGAAGCATGACCCGAACCGCCTGGTACAGATGTTTGAGCAGGACCCGAACCGCCTGGTACAGATGTTTGAGCAGGACCCGAACCGCCTGGTACAGATATTTGAGCAGGACCCGAACCGCCTGGTACAGATATTTGAGCAGGACCCGAACCGCCTGGTACAGATGTTTGAGCAGGACCCGAACCGCCTGGTACAGATGTTTGAGCAGGACCCGAACCGCCTGGTACAGATATTTGAGCATGACCCGAACCGCCTGGTACAGATGTTTGAGCAGGACCCGAACCGCCTGGTACAGATGTTTGAGCAGGACCCGAACCGCCTGGTACAGATATTTGAGCAGGACCCGAACCGCCTGGTACAGATATTTGAGCAGGACCCGAACCGCCTGGTACAGATATTTGAGCAGGACCCGAACCGCCTGGTACAGATATTTGAGCAGGACCCGAACCGCCTGGTACAGATATTTGAGCAGGACCCGAACCGCCTGGTACAGATATTTGAGCAGGACCCGAACCGCCTGGTACAGATGTTTGAGCAGGACCCGAAGCATGACCCGAACCGCCTGGTACAGATGTTTGAGCAGGACCAGAACCGCCTTGTACAGATGTTTGAGCAGGACCCAAACCGCCTGGTACAGATGTTTGAGCAGGACCCGAAGCATGACCCGAACCGCCTGGTACAGATGTTTGAGCAGGACCCGAACCGCCTGGTACAGATATTTGAGCAGGACCCGAACCGCCTGGTACAGATATTTGAGCAGGACCCGAACCGCCTGGTACAGATGTTTGAGCAGGACCCGAACCGCCTGGTACAGATGTTTGAGCAGGACCCGAACCGCCTGGTACAGATGTTTGAGCAGGACCCGAAGCATGACCCGAACCGCCTGGTACAGATGTTTGAGCATGACCCGAACCGCCTGGTACCCGAACCGCCTGGTACAGATGTTTGAGCAGGACCCGAACCGCCTGGTACAGATGTTTGAGCACGACCCGAACCGCCTGGTACAGATGTTTGAGCAGGACCCGAACCGCCTGGTACAGATGTTTGAGCAGGACCCGAACCGCCTGGTACAGATGTTTGAGCAGGATCCGAACCGCCTGGTACAGATGTTTGAGCAGGACCCGAACCGCCTGGTACAGATGTTTGAGCAGGACCCGAACCGCCTGGTACAGATGTTTGAGCAGGACCCGAACCGCCTGGTACAGATGTTTGAGCAGGACCCGAACCGCCTGGTACAGATGTCTGTCCCTCTTCCCTCGAGAAGAGGGCAGACGAGATTCGTGCGTGCTCTTCGCCCAGACAGTCAACGCACAAGTTGTGTGTGTCATCAAGTATCAATATCTTAGACATGGATCCACACACTTCCTGAAGTGTTTTTCACAAGCCATGATTACCTTTTGAAGTTTCAGGTTGAAGCATACAAACAAAACAGTCCCTGAAGACAAAAAGAGGGTGACGTGTTCTCTAGGCGCCCTTTATATACTTCCAGGTCGCACTATTAGTGACGTCATAGGCTGTCGCCGTCCAATAGGATTGCCGTAATTAGATAAGTGTTTCGGACACCAGTTCTAAGGGAACTAACTTATTGTTTTAGTATAATTTTAGTCTGGTTGATGCTTCAAAATTGATCATGAGGAGAGACCATTTCTATTTTTCTATTCTTCCATCATATTTTAGTATTGGAACAATGGCAGCATTCAGAGACGCTTCAACGGACAAACACTTCCATTCAAACGCTTAGATTGTGATTTAGTCTTGTCATATCATTTGATACATGTAAGCCTGTGTAAATTCATGTAAAGGATGGTGTTACAGTTTCCTACACAATGCTCACTGTGCAAATAAATACTACATACACAGCAGTTATTAAACTTCAGTATGTTATAGTACAGTAAATGAGAAGATGGAGCAGACAGACAGAGGACAGACGCACCTCTGATGTAGCGACCGCCTTCGGGCGACTGCTGCGCGTCGAGCTGCTTCTGACGCCGGGCCTCCAGGAGAGGGTTCTCGTACTGCGTCTTACGGTGGATATGACTGACAGAGAGAGAGAGATCATGTTTTAGAAATATCAAAGACTAGAACGACTTCTGTTGATTCTTTATTCTAAAGGATAAAATGCATGATGTAATCTGAAAGTTGGCCATTAAAGGGGTCCTATTGTGCCCTTTTATTAAGTCTTGATTTTGTTTTTGGGGTGTACCAGAATATGATTTCGTGGTTGATTGTACAAAAAAGTGAAAAAATGTAATGTCCGCAACACTGCTTTAAACTCCCATATTTAATATAAAGGCAACGTTTCGACCCTGCTGAGTCTTCTTCAGGCCTTCTTTTGCCCTGCACCTGCCAGAAGGTGGGATGTGCACACAATTACTTTTATAAAAGATTGTACAAAAAACACATTGTTTTTCACATATTTTACATTATTACTGCACCTCTCTCCCCATTCTGGTTGAACGCGTTGTTTATTTCCAGTTTCGATGAAGCCCCTCTTTCTGAAATATGAAACGTGCTGTGATTGGTCAGCTGGCCCAGTGTGTTGTGATTGGCACCACGTGTTCGGGAAATGTCCCGCCCCTTCATAACCGCGAACTCTACTCAGATGTAAACATTAACGATGATGTCGATTTCAAACCGATTCAAGCCTGATTCAGACTTCAGAATGTTAACAAACAAGAGGATCGTGCTGAACAGATTTCAAGCACATTTCAGAGTGGTGTGTTTGTTTGTTTTTAAACTTTCTTATACATTTTAGATACAAAGTAATACACCAATTTAATTACGTTACTTGTGGTAAAACGCAATACAAATAGTAATCGATCACAAAACCATGGTTACAGAAGCTTCAGTAAACACTACATCAACAGTAATGTTGGCTAGAAGGAGAGCAGATGCAACAAGATAACGCTTATAATTGGAACTGTTAATAGAAAACGCAACTAGAAATAATAAGACATAATAACAAGTTGTGATCCATAAACAACAGATTGTCCCGACAAAATGGGACCTGCTTCGTTTCAGGAGAAGCGTTGTGCGTATAGCCTGCATCGTGGTTCTGGAAGCTGTTCTCCGTAATATGTGCAGCGCACAGATAAACGTTGAGGTTATAATGTTCAGGAACAGCGTTTAAAATAAATTTGAACCACTCTAAGTTCGTCAGTCTTAGGAAGGTCAAACAAATGAGTTTTGGAAACGTTGTGGAAAACTGCGTCTTTTTGACAGCGACAGCACTGTCTTCCAGCGCGGCTCATCCAGGCCTCGACCTGCGCAATCCGTGGGCGGAGATTATGTAAATGAGGAACATTTTGACATCACAAGATCCGGATAAAATGCGTTGTAGTCCAAACGAGCCGTTCGTTCTTGGAAAGTGGATTGTGTTAAATAAAATATCTCTCTTAGGAAGGACTTTGAGCTTTGTGACTTTGCAGATGTTGTTTATGCTCAAACAGCAACATTAAACACTAACTAAATAATCATAGGATCCCTTCAACCAGTGCGTTTTGGAACAGCCAATATTCCATTAGTTAAAATGTATGTGAAAGAAATAGGATTTATTGATGATAAATGCATAAAGCAAACACATTTGTAGTTTATTAGGACTATTACAAAAATCTTACCCACTTCATTTAAGTATGACCAACAAAATATGCATCACATTAACTTTAAAGCAAGTTTATGTAAAAACTATGTGATCCAAAAGGATAGAAGTTTTTATGCAATTTTAAAACATAAGTCTTAGATTCTGTGCAGGAACTGAAAGGACTGTAGGGTTTGACACTCACTCAACATAGTAGACTCCGTACACGGGGTCATCGATCTTCTCCCAGCCGGGCGGCAGCTCTAACACACGAGAACACACACAGAGAGAGACTGAGAAACACAGCCAGAGACTGAGAGAGACTGAGAGACACAGAGAGAGACTGAGAGAGGATTGAAAAGATTGAAAGATTGCAAAGGCCTCAACCACCTTCCCAAATGCTAAAATTACCATCTCCACACTGCTGCCCCGAAAAGACTTCCACCCTGACACCATCCAGCGGGTGAATGCCCACCTCTCCCACGCCTGTGCACTTAAACCCAATGTGCATCTGGCACACCCCCCCATCCCCACCCTCACCCCCACCCTGGACCCCTCATGCCTCTACGACCATGTCCATCTGTACAAGACCGCTGTTCCTGACTTCGCCAGGACCCAAAAAATGTGTCGGAACCACAACAGCACCCCCAGGAGCAACAGAGTCCAACAACCTCCACACAGACCTGTAAGAAAGCTCAGTGTACGCCCAGAGAGAACATCCAGAAGACAACAGCAGTTTCACATGCTGAGACCATCCCAGCCAGCACCTGAGCATCTTCTCCCAGCCCTCACACCCTCACATCAGCACATCAGGCCAGGCCAAAGCCCCTCCTGCCGACCCCCTGCCCTCCTCATACCCCGCAGGCCCCGGGCAGACACAGCTACGCTCAGAACATCAGAACATCCACAACAGCACCAGTGCAGGCCACATCAACAGAGCTAAGAGACATCCGTCAGATGCTCACACCTACTGTCATAGGTCAAAACTTATCACCAGAACTAACATGGACAACAAAGCCTTTATCATTTCATGTTGGAACATTCAAGGCCTGAGATCATCTACCTTTGGCCTCAAAAGCAGAAACCCAGATTTCAACACAGAAATCAAAAACTCAGACATCATCATCCTGCAGGAGACATGGAGCAGAGGAGATGGACCCACCGGCTGCCCCAAAGGCTACAGAGAACTCATCATCCCATCCATTAAACTGCCTGGAGTGACACAAGGAAGAGACTCAGGAGGAATGCTTATCTGGTACAGATCAAATCTTGCCCATGCCATCAAAGTAGCTAAAACAGGACAATTCTACACATGGTTAGAAATTAATAAGACAGTCACCGCAACAGAGAAAAACATCCTCCTGTGTGCCACTTATATCCCTCCAGCAGAGTCTCCATATTTTAATGAAGACAGTTTCTCCATTCTTGAAGTAGACATTAATTACTTCCAGTCACAGGGAAGTGTGCTGCTCTGTGGAGACCTGAATGCCAGAACAGGTGAAGAACTGGACACACTGAACTCTCAGGGGGACAAACACCTGCCTGGAGGAGACGTCCTCCCCACACCCATACAAGCACAGAGACACAGTTATGATAAAACAACAAACAAAAGCGGAACACATCTTCTTCATCTGTGTCGCACACTAGGTCTGTTCCTAGTCAACGGCAGGCTTCGAGGAGACTCCTACGGTAGATACACCTACAGCTCATCTTTCGGTAGCAGTACAGTCGACTATTTTCTGACAGACCTTAACCCAAACTCCCTCAGAGCGTTCACAGTCAGCCCACTAAACCCCCTGTCAGACCACAGTAAAATAACCCTATACTTAAACAGAGCAATGCCCAACCAAGAAGCATCTAAACAAACCCAGCTCCACTCACTTAGAAACATGTATAGATGGAAACAAAACAGTAAAGATACATATCTAAGTACAATTAGTCAACCGAAAATTCAAGCCCTATTAGATCAATTCCTTGCCACTCCTTTCCTGCACAATAGTGAAGGTACAAACCTAGCAGTAGACAAGCTGAACAGAATATTTGAGGTATCAGCAACATTATCCAACTTAAAAATCACAAAAAGAAAACCAAAAAGACCACATGCCACTGAGAAATGGTTTGACAATGACTGCACAAGACTTAGGAAAGAATTAAGAATCCTATCCAACCAGAAACACAGAGATGCTGACAATGAGAACATCCGTCATCTCTATCATGAAAAGCTTAAACAATATAGGAATACTTTAAGAAAGAAAAAAGAACAAAACACAAACAGTCAATTCAGGGAAATTGAAGAATCCTTAGAATCCGACCAGTTCTGGAAACATTGGAACACACTAAACAAACCCTACCATCCAGAACTAGCTATCCAGAATGGAGATGTTTGGATTAACCACTTCTCCAACCTCTTAAGTGATATAAACAAAAATCAGGAACAAAATGCCCTGTATGACAAACTAAGGGTTTTAGACTACCAGAACCCCTTAGACTCTCCAATTACACTAGCCGAACTATTAGACAAAATACAAACCCTGAAATCTCAAAAAGCCTGTGGTGTCGATGGCATCCTAAATGAAATGAATAAATACACAGACCACAAATTCAAATGATCCATTATCAAGCTCTTCAATATCATCCTGAGTTTAGGTATATTCCCCAACATTTGGAACAAAGGTCTTATTACCCCAGTCCATAAAGCCGGACACAGATTTGACCCTAATAACTACCGTGGTATATGTGTATGTGTGTATGTGTATATGTGTATATGTGCAACCTAGGCAAACTTTTCTGGAACATCCTAAACAGCAGAGGAGCTGTTCCTCAGACAGCAATGCCCTGAGTGAGCGGCAAACACCATATATACACTCTCCATACACACCATATATACACTCTCCATACACACCATATATACACTCTCCATACACACCATATATACACTCTCCATACACACCATATATACACTCTCCATACAGACCCAATTTTATATACACCCTCCATACACACCATATATACACTCTCCATACACACCATATATACACCCTCCATACACACCATATATACACTCTCCATACACACCATATATACACCCTCCATACACACCATATATTCACCCTCCATACACACCATATATACACTCTCCATACACACCATATATACACTCTCCATACACACCATATATACACTCTCCATACACACCATATATACACTCTCCATACACACCATATATACACTCTCCATACACACCATATATACACTCTCCATACACACCATATATACACTCTCCATACACACCATATATACACCCTCCATACACACCATATATACACTCTCCATACACACCATATATACACTCTCCATACACACCATATATACACTCTCCATACACACCATATATACACCCTCCATACACACCATATATACACTCTCCATACACACCATATATACACCCTCCATACACACCATATATACACTCTCCATACACACCATATATACACCCTCCATACACACCATATATTCACCCTCCATACACACCATATATACACTCTCCATACACACCATATATACACTCTCCATACACACCATATATACACTCTCCATACACACCATATATACACTCTCCATACACACCATATATACACTCTCCATCCACACCATATATACACTCTCCATACACACCATATATACACTCTCCATACACACCATATATACACCCTCCATACACACCATATATACACTCTCCATACACACCATATATACACTCTCCATACACACCATATATACACTCTCCATACACACCATATATGCACTCTCCATACACACCATATATACACCCTCCATATACACCATATATACACTCTCCATACACACCATATATACACCCTCCATACACACCATATATACACCCTCCATACACACCATATATACACTCTCCATACACACCATATATACACTCTCCATACACACCATATATACACCCTCCATACACACCATATATACACTCTCCATACACACCATATATGCACTCTCCATACACACCATATATACACTCTCCATACACACCATATATGCACTCTCCATACACACCATATATACACCCTCCATACACACCATATATACACTCTCCATACACACCATATATACACTCTCCATACACACCATATATACACTCTCCATACACACCATATATACACTCTCCATACACACCATATATACACTCTCCATACACACCATATATACACCCTCCATACACACCATATATACACTCTCCATACACACCATATATACACTCTCCATACACACCATATATACACCCTCCATACACACCATATATACACCCTCCATACACACCATATATACACTCTCCATACACACCATATATACACCCTCCATACACACCATATATACACTCTCCATACACACCATATATACACCCTCCATACACACCATATATACACTCTCCATACACACCATATATACACTCTCCATACACACCATATAAACACACACACCATATATACACTCTCCATACACACCATATATACACTCTCCATACACACCATATATACACTCTCCATACACACCATATATACACTCTCCATACACACCATATATACACTCTCCATACACACCATATATACACTCTCCATACACACCATATATACACTCTCCATACACACCATATATACACTCTCCATACACACCATATATACACTCTCCATACACACCATATATACACTCTCCATACACACCATATATACACTCTCCATACACACCATATATACACTCTCCATACACACCATATATACACTCTCCATACACACCATATATACACTCTCCATACACACCATATATACACCCTCCATACACACCATATATACACTCTCCATACACACCATATATACACCCTCCATACACACCATATATACACTCTCCATACACACCATATACACTCTCCATACACACCATATAAACACACACACCATATATACACTCTCCATACACACCATATATACACTCTCCATACACACCATATATACACTCTCCATACACACCATATATACACTCTCCATACACACCATATATACACTCTCCATACACACCATATATACACCCTCCATACACACCATATATACACTCTCCATACACACCATATATACACCCTCCATACACACCATATATACACTCTCCATACACACCATATATACACTCTCCATACACACCATATAAACACACACACCATATATACACTCTCCATACACACCAT